AAGGGCGCGACACCCGACGGGACCGCCGCCTGGCGGTGAGCGAGCGAACGACGGGCTCCGAGGCCGGGGGAGGGGGCAGATGTGGGGTACACGGGTGGGCGAGTCCCAGCCTTCGGGGCGAGTCTGACTTCCCTCCGCTCCGCCAAAGCTCCAACCCCTCCCGGCCCTCCGCTGCCCCGGCTGCCAGCAATCTCTCCGCTTTCCTTCAGCCGCCGCGCAGCCACCCAACCGGCCCCCGAAGCCCGCCAGCCCGAACCCCGCGCCTTCCGCTGCTTCCCTGACTGTTACCAGGGCTTCCCACCGCCGCGAGGCCCGGGGGCGCCTCCTCGCCCCGACGCTAACCGTCCCCCCCAAGTCCTCAGTCCCCCTTACCTCGGCCGCGAGGCAGCCAGGCGTCTTCCTCTGCTCCTCCTGCTCCCAGCTTGGCGGTCCCAGGACGTTGCTGCCAATCACCCAATCTCCTCCCCAAGCCACGGCCGGACTGACCAATCAGCGGCTTTCTCCGGCCAGGAGGCGGACCCCGGGCTCAGAGCGGAAGGCTCGGGTGCCGCCCCACGCTCCGGCGGCCGCCGCTCGTAGCCATGGTACGCATGCGCGCGGGGCTCGGCGTGGGTGCGGGCGCTTTTCTCTCTCTTGGACCTCGCTTTGTGGCCCCACTGCTCCGCCCCGGGAAGTACTTGGTTTGTAAACCTCAGGATCCAGGTGTGCGGGGCGACCCAAATTCTGAATGTAGCCAAGAGCGTGGCATGCCTTGAAAGAAGCTGTGAGATGTTCGCCCTTGTTGTCCTAACGTATGTTGAGCCCTTTCATCCCCCGCTGTAGACTGGCGTGCACGCGGGAGATCTTTGGCCTCCACGGACCTCGCATCTGCGGTGCGTTTGTGTTTAGGGAGCGTGAGGGTGCGGGGCCCTACAAAGTGCCTGGTGGGTGAGGATTTCAGTTTACCATCTTCAGTTCCAGCATCTGCTTACGCTGACTCATTGGGACACCTGCTTTTCAATAATCGTCTAGGACACGCTGGATTTAAAATATTTTGTCCTGAACATATAATAAGGTGTGTGAAGGCCTGATAAAAGAGCCCTGTGTAGGGGCAGAAACCGATCAGCCCTATGTACGGCCCTTCAAAGGCTGTTGCTGATTGGCTGTGTCACTCACCCTCCCATTGTAACTGATACCAGAGGTCACCGGGCAGGCACCCGCGTTCTCCTCCTGATACTGCCTCCCAAGTCTCCCCCTGGCGAGGGCTTTCCTCTTTCAGCAAAAACACCGATTCATTTACTCAACAAGGGCTTTTGGGGGGGCCCACTATGACAGTACAAAGTTTTTTTTTTTTAAGCCGTGAACCACACCCTGCGTGAACCTACAGGCTAGCAGGGAGATAGAAATACAAATTGAACGTATTTAACCAAACGTTATCATGAAGGTATGGCGAGAGGGAGCCTGGAAGCTAACCCTGCCTGCCCAGGGGTTCGGGAACACATCAGAGAGGGGTGAGCGGGAGATCCAGGCATGGGGTGTGCTTGTTGAAGCTGCTAGCCTGTCAGTACGCAGAGCTGGGAAATATATTGCCAGTTTGTGTTTCCATTCTCTGTTTATATTCCTGTGATAGGCAGCATCTGAGAGGGAAGTCACCAATGGTCGCTTCCCTCTGGTATTCACAAGATCCCATGTCCAGCAGCCTGTGAGAAACTGAATCCTGCTCACAGCCATGTGAGTGAATTTGGAGAAACACCTCCCCCACGTGTGCCTTCAGATGACTGCAGCCCAGCTGACACCTTGATTGCAGCCTTGTGGAAGCCCCTGAGCCAGAGGTATCCAGCTAAGCTGCACGTGGGTTCCTCATACGCAGAAGATTTGAGATAATAAATGACTGCTGTGGCAAGCTGCTACCTTTTTTTAGTAATTTGTTAGGAAACAATGGACAGCTGATATGATTTCCGTCTCTGTCACAAGATCCGTGGTTCTTAAATATACTTTGAAGCTTGTTGGAAAATACATAAGCCCAGCCTGCCTGGTGTGGCCCAGTTGGTTGTTGGTTTGATTCCCGATTGGGGCACATGCCCGGGTTGCAGGCTCAGTCGCCGGTGAATGGTGTGCAGGAGCCGGCAGCTGATGGATGCTTCGCTCTCACATGGATATTTCTCTCTCTCCATCTCCCTCTCACTCTAAAAATCAATAAAAAATATTTGAAAAAATACATAAATCCAGGCCTCTTCCTAGAATCTAAGGTGATTGTTATGCATAGCTAACTTTTGGAAACAAATATAGAAGATTAAAAGCAACCCATTTGCAGATTTTAGAAAAAAATAGGCTTTATTATGCTTTTTAGTGTATCTGATCCTGGAGTTCTTTACCCAAATTAATGGCTCAGCTTTCTTGGCAGAATCCAGAATGACTGTAACTTCATCTGCTAGCTGGAGTATTTATTGAATAGAGGAAAAGAATCAGAGCTTTCATTCACTTTGTGGCCTTGAAAAAGTCCCTTGACCTTTCTATGCTTCCAGATTGCTAACGAAATTAAAGGATTATAATGCCAGTATTTAAGCAAGAGATTTATTCATTATTAAGTGTATATTAGGCTAGTAGATTAAGTGATCAAGGCCCATTGTGGGCCAGCTTCCTTGTAGAGATTTAACAAAAGGTCAGGTTCCCATTTGTTCATGTTGGTAGACAGTGAAGCTTAATTCTATTGTAGAAATTCTGTTACCAAGTCAGACCCATGTTCAGTTATGCCTCTGCCACATACCAGCTGTGTGGCCTTGGGCAAACCAATCAGCCTCCCTTGGTCTCAGTTTTCTGATGTGCTCAGTGGGGAAAATAGCCACCTCAAAGGTGGCCCTGAGGACTGATGTACAATACTAAAGGCGATGCCTGATTTAGCAGAAGAGTCCTATAAATAATAGCTGTGAAGGACATCCAATCAGCTCACGTCACTGTGATCCGGTGGTAAAGTAGAGGACAGACAAATGCCCACCTGTGTCCATCAGCCTGCTTCTCATATTAGGTTTAATGGCAATCCCATTTGGTGAGGTAGGTAATAATCTGTGAATCGTACACAGTGTCTTCCTTAGAAATCCAGACCCTTTCTTTCTAGTTCTGCTTTTTCTCAAGCTCTGATTGCCTGTCTGTAGAAAAGATTACACACTGGAATGGGCCTCAAATGGTCCTGAGTTAAAATTCAGGAAAACCCGCCGAAACCGGTTTGGCTCAGTGGATAGAGCGTCGGCCTGCGGACTGAAAGGTCCCAGGTTCGATTCCGGTCAAGGGCATGTACATGGGTTGCGGGCACATCCCCAGTGGGGAGTGTGCAGGAGGCAGCTGATCGATGTTTCTCTCTCATCGATGTTTCTAACTCTCTATCTCTCTCCCTTCCTCTCTGTAAAAAATCAATAAAATATATTTAAAAAAAAATTTCAGGAAAACCCAGCTAGTAAAAGACCATTGGGGAGAGCAGTAAAGTGCCCGTGTGAGGGGTGCTTTAAGACAAGGTGGGTGAGGGGTGCTTTAAGACAAGGTGGGGCTGGATATGTCTGAGAGACGATTTCAGCTACAGGACTAATTGATGGGCCAATATCTCACATGAGGTGAAAGTTCAAACATGCAGCTAAATGCCTAATAGTTCAGTACATTGGCTTCAAGCTCTGATCACTATTAAAGGCAGATATTATTGAGAGAGAGAGAGAGAGAGAGAGAGAGAGAGAGAGAGAGAGAGAGAGAGAAACTTTTAAATCCACTTGAGTCATGTAAATCTCAGTGCAAATGAATGTGTTTACCATGGTGCCCAGCGAAACATTGTTGAGCTATTTGATTTAATCATGCAGTGTTGAGTATGCCTGGTTGTTCTAAGCCTTGAAACTATTTTTTTTCTTCTCAGTTCAGTGTACAAAGTGATCTGATGTATATCCAAAAATATGTATATCGAGATAGGTGAAAAGATCACTGCCTTCCAGAGACTGTGACATTTCTTTCTATAAACCAGTTCTTGGGATATATCCTGACCTGCAGAACTCTTTCGTTTTAATGTTTTTAAATTAGGTTTTATTTTTTGAAATTATAATTATGCAAAATGTCAAACATACACAAAAGTAAAAAGCCTATGCAATGAATCCTTATGTGTCCATCATACAACTTCAACAATCAGCAACACATAGCTACTGGTTCTATCCATACCCTTTCCAGGCCTCTTTCATTCATTTTGTTTGTTTGCTTTGGAGATGCTGGAGAATAAACCCCCAGGGGCCTCATACAGTCAAACCTTTTGATTCTTTTGAAGTGAACCTCAGGCATGTCATTTCAACCATAAATATTACAGTATGTATCACTTGAAGTTAAGGAGGGTTTTTTTGTCTTTTTTTTTAAGGAGTCTTTTTAAAAAACATAACTATAGCGCCATTATCAGGCCTAAAATATTGATCATAATGTTTCTTAATATCATCAATTCAGTTCAGATTTACTTGGGTGTCTCATTTATTTTTTTTCTTTATATTTATTGTTGACACTATTACTGATGTCCCCATTCCCTCTCCCTTTATTGTTTACTTTTTTTTACAGTGGGTGTCTTTGAATCAGAATATTAAAAAGAGCTACACATCACATTTGGTGAATATCTCTGAAATATATTTTATTTACATAACCCCCTTCCCACCCTTTTTAGTTTTGTTTTGAAAAAGAAACAGATTTTGTCCTATAGAAATTTCCCACACTCAGGATTTTACTGATTACATTCCTATGGTGCCATTTAACAAATTCCTTCATCTCTTGTTTTCTGTAAACTGGTAGTTAGATATAAAGGCTTGATTTGATCCAGGTTAAATTTTTTGCTAGAATACTTTCATAGGTAGTGGTATATACTTCCATCAAAAGCTACATAATGTTCATGTGTTTCTCTTCTTTGTAACATTAATGGCTATTAGTGATCTTTGCCTACATCCATGATCTCATTAAGCGTTTGCAAAATGGTGGTATTCTATCGTTCCTATTAGTTATTTGGTTACTGTGAGGAATGTAAAGAAAAGCATGTTGGATGCTTGTTTCTTAGTATTTACCAGTTTTCAGAATAAGAATAATTATCCTACATCACCTATTTTGTTACTCTGAAGTATAGTACATATACTAGTAAGAAAGATAAGTATAATGCTTGGTTTGATTCTCTTTATTTACCAATTTTCAAATCCTCTAAAGATGTTTCTTTGCTTTATCCCCCCCCCC